CACCATCGTGGGCGCCAACCTGACCGTGCTGCGCGCGGCCGCCTTCGCGGGAGGGGACGAGGAGGCGACGGACGGCGTGCGCCTGCCGCTCCTCACTGCGCTGCGCCTCACACACAACAACATCGAAGTGGTGGAGGACGGCGCCTTCGACGGGCTACCCAGTCTGGCGGCGCTCGACCTGAGCCACAACCCGCTTCGCGCCCTGGGAGCCCGTGCCTTCCGCGGGCTGCCTGCGCTGCACTCGCTGCAGCTCAATCACGCGCTGGCGCGGGGCGGCCCCGGGATGCTGGATGCCCTGGACGCCGCGCTCACCCCACTGGCCGAGCTGCGCCTGCTGGGCTTGGCGGGCAATGCGCTTAGTCGCCTGCCGCCCGCTGCGCTTCGCCTGCCTCGCCTGGAGCAGCTGGACGCGCGCATCAATGCACTGACCGGCCTGGGCCCCGACGAGCTGCGCGCGGTCGAGCGCGATGGCGATTTACCCGGACCGCGCCTGCTGCTGGCGGACAACCCGCTGATCTGCGGGTGCACCTTGCGCCCCCTGCTGGCCTGGCTCCACAATGCCACCGAGCGCGTGCCCGACGCGCGCCGCCTGCGCTGCGCCTCCCCGCGCGCGCTGCTCGATCGGCCTTTGATGGACCTGGACGAGGCGCGGCTGGGCTGCGCCGACGGCGATACTAACGAGCGCGGGGAAGAGGTGGATGTCGCTGGCCCGGAGCTGGAAGCCTCTTACGTCTTCTTCGGGCTGGTGCTGGCACTCATCGGCCTCATCTTCCTCATGGTGCTCTACCTAAACCGCCGTGGCATCCAGCGCTGGATGCGCAACTTGCGCGAGGCCTGCAGGGACCAGATGGAGGGCTACCACTATCGCTATGAACAGGATGCAGACCCGCGCCGCGCGCCCACTCCGGCTGCCCCCTCCGGCTCCCGGGCCACTTCCCCGGGCTCTGGTCTTTGAGCCTCACCTCCCTAATGGGAGGGTGTCCCTGTCAGCTGATAACTTTACTGGGACCACCCAACCTTCCCCTGCCTGGCCTGAGCCCTGGAGATGACACACCAACGAATTTGGATCTCTGCAACCTTTGGATCAATCTTAGCATCTCTCCCAACCCAAAATTCTAAGGTGTACTCGTTTTTTTCGTGGCCTAAGAGCTTCCAGGTCAAAAACCCAGAGACGCCCCATCTGTTTCCAGAAACAAACCCTTCCTGTCTGTTCTTCCTGGACCATTGAAATCCCTTCACCCAAAGGTCTACTCAGAGACCCCGCTCTTCCATTTTGAAATCTCTAGCACTTTCTCCACCACAAACGCTTTGAGCCAGACACCTTGGCTAGACTGCACTGACCCCTGTCCCCAGTTAGGAGCCGTCAGTCCTTTTCTCAGAGCTCAGGGGTTCTACATCCCTTCTGGTCTTATCGGAAGGTTTTTTGTGGAGTTTGAGCCGTTTGTCCCAACCCAGAATTCTGAGCCCTCCATCTCGAAATCCGCATCCAGAGGCTCTGTGGCTTAAGCGGCCTCCTCTAGTCTGGCGTGCTTCATATACTGGTTCTAGCTCAAGCTCCTCTATTCCTTGGCCCTGCCTGGGTTTCAGCTCCAGCCCTGTCCCTCTCGACCCAGGGACATGCCTGGGTGTAGAATCCATCCTTATCCTTTTCAACCGGGGATCTGATGTCCCAACGCTCAATGTTTGCCCTCAGTCTCAAGCTTAGCTCTTCACCTTACCCATCACCGGCACTTTTACCTGCCTCTGCCATTCTCTGATCCGGGTCCAGAGAGGAATCTCCCCCATGGTGGGGTGCTACCCACTGCCCTCCTAGAAGTTCTCCCATCCTGTGGGACAAGGGCAAGCACCCTATGGCACATAGGCAAACCCTGGTGAGGAAGAGAGCATGTGGGGTGTGCAGGGCCTCCCAACCACTGTCACTGGTCCATCTGGGAAAGAGAGGCTGGGAGCTGCTGTCTGTCTAGTCCGTCTGCGCTCTCTCTCTCACCCATGCAGTCCTCCCCTGGGAACTCCTTGCTACCACCTCTCACGCCTTCTGGAGGAGGATAGAGTCTGACTTCTTGTCTCAGTCACAAGCCTTTCTGGGTCAAGGTCATGGCCTCAGCGCCCTGCCTTCTGCACGATTCCCAAAGCACAACGGTGAGTGAGGAGGGGCCGCCTCCCCGCCGCTCACCCTCAGTCAGGCAGAATGGCCAGTGGGCGCTGCCTCCGCGCAGAAAGTCTCCCTCCTCTGTGTATTGGCTTGAGGCCCGCCTTCCCGCCCTCAACTGAGAAATCTGGACCTCCCTTGGGCTGTTTTCTATAAAGTCTGCAATAATCTCCAATACTCTCTGCTCTTGTAAGTGGTACGGTGTCTGTCTTTCCTACTGACCTTGGGGCCTTGGTGGGAGCGAGAGGTGGCAAGAGGGAATTTGGGGCCATGTCCCTTGTGTGTTCTCTGGAGATGTGGGGGGGGGGGAGAAATGTGGGTTCACAAAGCAAGATTGAGGCTCGATAAGTGGAGGGGCTTTCCACCACTCTCCCAAACCCCCTGCTTTTTGATGGTCTGAAACGGGCTTGTCCGCCACCAGCAATGAATTCCACACTTTTTTACACTCCATATCCCTTGGGGGTGAGGGCCTGGAAGGAAATATGTTTAGATTGACTAGCCTCACCTGGGATGAGCCTCTCGGGAAAGAGACCAGCTACAGAAGAGAGGCAGTTTACTGAGGCAAATTTGTCTGAGGAGCCAGTGGCTGCTCCAGGCCCATCTGCTTGCTAGCCTTTTCGCCTACGGGAGTTGAAGTGGAGCACTGGGTGTCCAAAAGGTGGAGAAACAGCAGCCTAGAGGGGGTGGGGCAAAGTGACCCCCCCCTTTATAAAGGCAGTGGGAAGCAGGTGGGCCCCGGGTTGGAAGAAGTGGCTCATCTCTTATTTCAGGATTCCCAGAATTCTCAAAGCCCTGGAATCATGGACAGAAGTCTAAAATTCCAGCACGTATTTTAAAAAGTTCAGAGCCACGCGTTTCTAGAATGTGCAGCTTCTAAACATTAAAAGGGCCATCCCGGTGCCATTGGAAGCTTGTGCTGTCTTTAGTGGGACACAGTGCACTGCCTCCTCGTCTTCTAGTGGTTGCTGTATCTATCCTCCCTCCTGTTTTCCATGGACATCTGTCACGGACCTTCAGTGTGAGATCTGAGCGTCCTCTAGGAAAGAACAGTGATGTTCTTATCCAGGTTAGGAAACCACCTCTCAACAGCTCACCCCGGTGCTAAAAGTGTACCATAACTGCAGTAAGTCCTAGCAGATAAAGGGTGCTGTTGACTGTGGGCGCATTATCGGCAAACAAATGAACCTTTTACATGGTGCCACTTTGGATACTCTGCTAAGAACTTAGTTGTCCTGAGCCATGGAATAGCAGCAGATATTTTAAAAATCAACCAAGGCCTGTTGTATATGATGCAAGGCTTTGCCTTCGTGTCTTTTATGGGCTCCATTAGAAGCCAGCTCCTGGTCATGCCAGCCCATGACCCCAGTCTTTGTCCTCCACAGATATAGCCTCACACTTAGCCTATGCTGAATACAGCTCTGCCAGTCCTAAGGAGACTAATGACCGGGAGCCCCTGACCCAGCCTAAAAGGACTTTGTAGATGAAGTGGCGTTTGAGCTGAGTTGGGGTTTGTTCTGCTTTGTTTTGTGATGCTAGGAAGGTCAAATCCACATCCTTGCACAGGCTGGGCAATTACTGTACCACTGAACGACACCCACAAGCCCTTGGTTTGTGTTTCCTTTGGTTGGTTTTGATACAGGGTCTTGCTAAACTGGCCTTGGACTTAAGACCCTCAATTCTCAGCCTCCTCAGTGCTGTGCCTCCAGGAATGAGTCACCCTGACTCCCCCTACCATTCACTCAGTCCAAAGCCTCTCCCAGGAGCTGCTACAAATGAGGGGTGGGGAGAGGCCCAGAGAATGGAGACAGCAGGGAGAGAGTGACAGGGGAAAAGTTATCTCCGGGTGTCTCCTTAGAGAGCAGGTAGGACAGTGAGCAGGCGAGGGTGGGTGTGGGTGGA